GAATGAGGGACTGTCAATTTACAGGACAATCTCATGATTGCTATCAAATGCAGTGAGACTTGCACCTTTGTCATAAAACATATCAGATTGTCAGCTCAACTACAAGGTCTAATTCAGGCAAACAAGGTCAGAGTGTTCTGCGTGACCTGCGCTGTGCTGACAGCCAGACCTGCTGACGGGGACAGCCAAGCCGTCTCATGGCTGACAGAAGAACTTGACTCTCAAGCGGCCGGAGCCACAAACACAAACATCAGTGCACATTTGCTTCCGCTCTGCACTAAACTCTCCAACACACACAGATGCCTTAATGTGCTCCTGCCAGCACGACGAGCATCAAAACAAGCCACGGCGTCAAGCGAGCTAATACAAAAGCGCAGCGTTTGACTGGAACAAAGGGTTGTGTTTCAAGTACAGGAGGGAGGTTTAACCAACTCCTTTCACTTTGTTCCACTGAGTCAGCACCTCCCAGAGACAGAGAGAAAGAGATGGAGACAGATAAAGCTGTTGGGGCCGGGCAAAGACAGGGACCTTTGTCTGTGCGTGGAGACTCTAGGAGATGTTTCTTTTGAACACACTTTGTTTTCTCTATCACACATGCATTCACACACACACACACGAGGATGATTCAGTTCTCAGACAGTGTGATAATATGCTGGTGGGGCACCGTGTCCCCTGAACAGTGGGTAGGAGTGTGTGTCTGTAATCAGATAGACAGTCTGTGCTGGTCCTGAGGCTGGAGGGAAGGACAGTTCTTGGCTGGTGCATGTTTGCACGTTCTGAGGCAGAGTCAGATCTTTTTTTAACACATTACACTGCATCTCTCTCGTCCTTGAGGTGAACCGTACTATCACATCTCTGATTACATGATGTAATCACCACACAGGCACATTACAATAGCGCGCCCTGACCTACAATACATGGAACAATTTACAAATCAACAATTCCAATATTTTATTTCCATGGCCTTTGAAAGTCCAATCAGTGTTTGGGAGCATGAGCTTCTCCCTCTCATAGAGAAACGAGTGAAGTAAGTCTCAAACTTGTGATGTCATAGGGCAGTGGTTTTCAAATTTTTTCTGCCCAAGCCAAACCCTCAAGGCACACCTGTATTTATATCTGTGCACAATAGCTTCTTTAATGTGTGTTATCACTCTCATCACGATGTAAGATAATACAAATAAGAAAAAATACTGACTTTGTCTCTTTTCTTTCTGCGCCAGGTCGTCTTCACTGGTGCTGTGTTGTAATTTGCTCCGTACAATAAAGCGACCTATTGTTCCATCACGACTTTCTCCTTTTAAACGTTAACCGTCACACTGGCTGCCAATCAGGGCTTCTGATGTGTCACACACTCTCATCACAACTGTGACAAATAGGTTCCTCATGAATGTTTTTTTTTATTAAATTAAATTAAATTAAATTAAATTGCATTTTAGCTAGACTTTGCCTCTGTATTAGGAAATGGGTGCACACCACACACTGATACATTCATTCATTTCCGTATCCACTTATCCTGGTAGGGGTCATGGGGGTGCTGGAGCCTATCCCAGCTGACAGTGGGTGAGAGGCAGGGTACACCATGGACAGGTCACCAGACTATCACAGGGCTGACACATAGAGACAGACAACCATTCACACTCACATTCACACCTACGGACAATTTAGAGTCACCAATTAACCTGCATGTCTTTGGACTGTGGGAGGAAGCTGGAGTACCTGCAGAAAACCCACACTGACACGGGGAGAACATGCAAACATTGCTCAGCTTCCATGTCGGATTCCAGCCTGCTTCTCCAAACTGAGGGCATGCCGAATGCCATCTACTGTATGCAATATGCTGTCTACATGCTGTAGGACCCCATACAACCCACTTCTGAACTGAAATCTGAACTATCCCTTTAAGTTACCTCCTGCCTAACAAACTTTTTACAAATCAAAAGTTTTAGCAGTATCTTGGCAAGAGGGTTCAACCAGTTTTGTTTTGTACTGATGCTGCTGGTTGACAATATTTTGCAGTGTCTGACATCTTTAAATACGACCACAATACGTATTTATTGTTTAGTCAGAGAACTGAATTCTGGTCAGGGCGAAAATAGGGCACTCACTGTTTAACTTGCTCCTGAATCCTGGCACATCTTAGCCTCCAAAGGAGCATCACTATCAGGGGCGCAAAGTCACCTAATGGGGGGTTTGAACCCTTTGTTGGGCAGGCTCTGGCCTTATTTTTTGCCACCACTGGAATAAAGTATGGGAAAGTGTATAATAGGTTACAATTACCTCGACCAGCTGCAACTTGAATTGCCTTGCTACCAAAATACTGAACAGGAGATTCGCACCATGGATGTGCAGCCGTATAATCTGCATCAACTGTGTGATGCTATCATCTCGATATGGACCAAAATATCTGAGGGATGTTTCCAGCACATTGTTGAATATATGCCACAAAGAACTGAGACAGGTCTGAAGGCAAAATGGGGCCCAATCCAGTACTAGCAAGGTGTACCTAATAAAGTGGCCAGTGAATGTGCAATGTACAGTCCCTGTTTTGAATAAGCCTATAAATGAAGATTGGAATGCTTACTTTTTAATGTAGGCTAATTCATATAGTGGTATCTCCTTTATATACATAGAATTATCATTTTTATTGTTATTTACATGGTATGAATGAATGAATGACGTTATTTTAAACCAAAATAAAAAACAAACAAGACAAAGATAACTGTGCAAAAAAGGAGTAGGTAGAAGTAAAACATATATGTCCCTTTCCCTTTCTTACATTTCTTCTTTTAACTCATATATTATTTCAACAAATTCCCAAATGTATTTACAACTAATATACAATTATCCCCAGTCTGTTTACCACCCAAATAAATAAATTAGTTATAAACACAGTTTATTTACAGTCCAAGGACCACCCTGTGTTACAAAATAAATATGCACTCCCCTAACACAACCTTTGCTCTTCTATATATCTGCCAAAAATATCTTTTTTGCCTGGAAGCTAATTATTTCTCACATTAAACATGATTATTGCAGTTTTAAATTAGACCAGATCTAAAAATTTCAATGCATGTGACTTTAAAAAGTGTGTGTGTGTGTGTGTGTGTGTGTGTGTGTGTGTGCGTGTGTGTGTGTGTTCCCTGTACGCCACATTGTGAACTGTCCTGTCCCAGATTTCCACACAGTGTATCCACTCCCAGGGACAACAGATGAAAATTAGCATTGTGCTATATCTAGTATAATACATATTGTACAGTCCCTGTTTTAAATAAAGCTATAAATGAAATGAATGCATACTTTAATATAGGCTAACTCATATTCACTCTATATACTTCTTCATGTTGTATAATAACACAACAGTTGTGTGTGAACAGTGACGTTACAGGACAGGCTTTGCTACCAAAATATGGAGCTGGAGATTACAGCTGACAAATCTGCAGCAACTGTGTGATGCTATCATGTCGATAAGGACCGAAATCTCTGAGGAATGTTTCCAGCACATTGTTGAATCTATGCCACCAAGAATTGAAGGAGAAGTCCGGTATTTTGCACTTTGAAACTTCCGTGGTGTTTGTTGATTTCTGACATAAAAATTGTAGCAAGCTGTGGGTTCCATCCGTGTTTTCGCTATTCATCTCGATTGTGGAACTATTTTTTCAGCTGCCTCACACCCGTGTGTAAACTTCCGCTTGATCGATCATTTGACCCTGAAGCGTTATACACTCCAGCCCGCTTGATGGCAATAATGCTCTTTTACGTGGGTGTCGCCAACCAGCAGGAAACCATTGCAATGTAATGGGACACAGAGAAGAAGCAGAAGAAGAAGGTTGGCGTTGTGTTCAAAGGCAATCGTACTCGTGCAGTTGTTTAAACTTATTACAAAACTTTTTCATTTGTAAAAAGTTTCATTTGTTCACAGCACTGTCGAGCCGGCACCTTCGCTGAGCTAAAAGACAACAATGACTACAACCTTGTCGTAAACAACCCCCTGTCCGTTTCCAGTGGTGGATTATTACCAACGGACAATGAGGCTTCTATAGGAAACCAATGGATTACACAAAATGTCAAATAAATCATCACGGAAACCACAGTTTGCTACGTTTTTTATGTCAGAACATCAACGAACACCACTATCCACTCGGTGAGTTTCATGGCTTTGAAAACGAACATTTAGGGTGGTTTTAGGACCAATATACACATGGCCATAGGCAGCAGTGTTAAGCCAGGCAGGAGAAAGCCAAATTCTCTGAAAATGAGCAATCTTCACTATTTTGGTCCTAACCACTCTATTTCATCATAAACAACCCAGAAATGGGGCTCAAATTGCAAAATACAGGACTTTTCCTTTAAGGCAGCTGTGAAGACAAAAGGGGTCCAACCTGGTACTTGCAAGGTGCACCTAATAAAGTGGCTGGTGGGTGTCAGCCAATAGCTAAAATGAAGATTGGAATGCATACTTTTAAATGTAGGCTTAACATATAGTGGTATCTCTACACAGAATTATCATTTTTATATTGTTATGCACAGTATATCCACACACAGGGACAACAGATGCAAATTAGCATTGTGCTTTGTCTAGTATAATACATATTTAACAGTCTGTTTGAAATAAATTAATAAATGAAATGAATGCATACTTAAATGTTGGCTAATTCATATTGTTGTATCTCCTCTATACACTTCTTCATGCTGAATAAAAATACAACAGTTGTGTGTGAACAGTGACGTTACAGGACAGGCTTTGCTACCAAAATCTGTGATTTTACTTGATTTTGACAAATGCCCATAAACTTTCCCAACATGTCTTTAACACAGTTGTATTTCCCCAAACACTGCAACACAACATGCCAGAAAACTTTTTGTTTATCGGTGTACGTGCCCTCCGTCTCTATGGAGCCTGTTTACCTGCTCTGTTGCCCGGTGACATTTCTCCCTTATGTCGTCAGAGCGTGGCAACACCCCTCACATCGCCACAGCCTTCGCCTCATTAACGGTTTGTTAAGGTGGCAGACAACAGGCTGCTGCTGCGTGCGCTGCTATTTCGGTGCGTTGCGCCATTAAAAGCCTTCAGTGGCGTCCAGGGAGCCGCTGCACTGACACACTTGGATATCTGCTGGCGGCTTTGCGTGGGCACATTCTTTCCCAGCGACGGGAACACGTTGGACATGAGAGGCGGTTACAAGCCAAGCGGGGCCACCTTAAATCACACGCTGACATAATAAGAACTCTACTCTCCACCCATATCCGAGAAGAGTGTGTTAAGAGGTGTCTCACCTTCCCGACTGTACTCTTATTACCAAGAAAGACGCCGGTGTGCTGACAACACGCCGAGGCATCTTAGGACATTACTGCAGCTCCTTATTGGTCAGGAGTCGCGAGGTCCGCTGCGTAAAAACGTCGCGCGCGCTGGACACGCACGGGCCTGTTGGAGAGAAAAAAGAAAACTTGTGGATACCCAAGTGGATTTATCTGAGAGCTTTTATCACGGTTTGGGTTTGTTTTACATGCCAAAGCTGGGGGAACAGACTGGAACACAGCACGCTGCTGAGCGAGGCTTCACAGTTTTCGCCACAATTATTGGTGAGTACACTTTAATGTGTGTGTGTCATTTGGACACTGAAAGAATTGATTGGAGGCGAGCAGTCAATCACGGGTCGATAAAATGTTGCTGCATGTTGTCAAGTGATTGGATGAGCCACCTTCCATGTAAATACCGGGGACATGATTAAGTTAATAAGGCTGGAATCGACGACAGGAGAATGTCACTGTTACTGTAAATTAGTATTAGCGGCTGACAGTAAGTCGTTGTTGATGTTGTCTGTTATAGAAGCACAATAACAACACTGTGACGGTATTGTGTAGCAGTGACACTCATTACAATTATATTAAAGCACATTTATGATTAAAAAGAAGCCAGGTAATATCTCTAACATGTAAAAAAATGCTGTAAAATCCAAACGTGAATGTCTGCCTTTGTTAGACACAAGTAAACTATGATTCAGTTGCAAGTTTTCATGGTCAGTTCCTTCCTTGGCCACAGGGGGGCGACCGAGTATCTCCTTTATCATCTCAAAGCCCTGACTTGTATTGGAAGAAGCTGTGTAGCTGTGTAGTGTTTTTTAAATCCTCACGCAGCCCCTCTTTGTTTGCAAGTTTCAGCTTAGTTTTGTTGTGACAAGATGGACAAAATGGACGCCTGCATCACCACTTATGCACGCAACCATGCTGCATATGTATTACTTGCTTTTACGCAGTGGTTTCTGTCCCTTGCATGTCGTTCCCGATGGGAATATATCATGTCTAGTGTTTAATTTGCGTGCTATTCACGTCCACTTTAATAGTTTCTGCATTTGTGCTGAGATCAGGAGAAAGAGGGTGACGTCAGCACTATTTATGCCCATCTGATAATTCAACATTTACAAGAGTAGAGGCTTGAACAATAGCTACAAATAAACTAGGGCTGCTGATCGCAAGGCTCCACTGGATATCTCATTGGATAAGGTTGTTGTTTGGGGTGATTAATAGTGAATAAATTAGTATGAGTGACCCTTAAAGCTCAGTGCATGCTCCTGTGATATGGCCCCATATTTTGTTCTATGCTGTAATTTATTATGAATGGCCTAAACTCTCATGCCCTCCACGTGGGTGTGGATCTCTTCCTCCCATTGGCTGACACCAGCAGCGTCCTGAAGGAGCTCTGCCGCGATTGGCTGCACCGGCTGTGGGCTGTGGGCGTATTTATCGATGGTGGAAGTGGGATACTTTGTGACAATGTTCATTGTCGATATTTCAGTGGAGCTGCCGTGGGTACGAGTGCGCAGCGCAGCGGAGAGCCACTCGCCACTAACCCGTATGAGGCTTTGCAGCTCACGGACCGTGTGTTTTCTCATCTGAAGCTTGCAAAGGCTGACAGAAACACCGGGAGGAATTTATATTCTTTGTTTTTTTTATTATTGTTAGACGTGAGAGTTTTTTGTTTTAAAGGTAACTGCCTGCGTAAGTGTGCGTCCATGGCATTTTCTGCTGACAACATCGCGTCTCTGCCTGGCATTTACTCATCTATGTAGCACATAGGAAGACTTTTGGTGCACGTTGGAGAGGGCAACAAAGAGAGAGATCAAACAAAGAGAAAAAGCCTTATGTAGTTGACTTTCCTGTGGGGAATATTCTCATGATATCGACCGGAGAGGAGACAGAGCGGGTTTTATTCTGACTCTCGGAGAGCGAGAGAAATAAAGAAAAGAAAAGCTCCCTGAATGCTGCCTTTGATTTGCAAGCAGAACAAGGGACGGTAAGCCGAAGCGACGGATCGGCTTCACCATCCTCCTCCTACTCCTCCTCACCCCCGCTTCATCCCCGGCTCTGCTCGTCTTGTCTCCCCCCTTCTCTGACCACAGGTTATCGGATGGACCAGCACCCCAGCGCCCGGAGCTGCACCAGTCGCGGTGCTTCGTCCTGCGAGGCCGTCCCGACTGAGCCCTCCATGAATCTGTACATCCACTCCACCACCGGCACACGCTTCGAGCTCTCCCTGCCCCAGGAGGAGACCGTGGATGGACTGAAGAGGAGGCTGTCACAAAGACTCAAAGTACCAAGAGAGAGACTCGCTCTGCTGCACAAAGAAACGTGAGTAAACCTCTTGTAACTATTATAATGTGTCTACAAGAAAATGTGCATGAACATTATTTTACGTTTTGTCCTGAAAGGCCTGCCCCTATCTGTACCATGCGCTGACATCACGAGCCGTAATGTCTAGGCTATTCCGCATTTAAATGTGAGTTTAGGTGCGTTCACCCTCGGGCCTGCAGCGATATGCTTTAATCTATACTTCGGATTTATGCGTGGCCCGAGCTCACAGGAGCCTCAGAGACAACCTTGGCTGCTTTGGTCATCAATACATTCAAGGAAACCACTGACCATCGGGACGCACGGTATTGGAATTACGCATAGGGGACGCACCGGTCACTGGAACAGTATTGACGAGGCGATCTGCAGACTTGCATTGATTCACTCCTCCTTCATTATAAATACTGAAGCCTGACTGAATTACTAATGCTCTGGGAATCAAACATGTTAAACATTAATGAGGAAAGTCACAGGACTGTGGTAGCCTGTAATTTATTTACTCTGCTGCTGCACAAGCACACATATATACTATGCATGTTGTTACTGTGTAATGGAAGGTGAATGTGTGCTGTAGTTGCTGCATGGTGATAGCCAGTAGAAGCAGGGCAACTCCTTAATGGTTTCAGTGGGTTTCTTATGGGTGGGCCAGCACTGTATGGACAAGAGAGTTAAAGCCTTTATTATTTAAAACAAACCGAAACCTACAGTATGAGGCCGTTCCCGAATGAATCATGCCCAGGTTAAATGAGCCAGCAGTTGTGCAGGTGGTGTTATGCAAAAAGAGAAGGGGATGCTTTAGTGCATGCAAACAGTCAGCATTGTTTTCCAGCCCCCTGTCCCCTCCCACCCATTGTAATCACCCAATAAATCACATCATCCTTTAAAACCTGAAACCCCCTTTTTAATCCCCTCCTGCTCCTCAAACTGTAGACCTACAGCAAGTCAGGGCTGAGGGCCTTTGTTCAGCTGCATGGAGTGAGATTTGGGTCATGCCTGTACAGCAGGCTGTCCTGAACACCCTTCACTAAACTAACTAAAGGAGGCAGAGACTGTGTGCGAGTGGTTCTAGTGCATCGTGACCTGAAAGAAAAGACAGTTTCCTCATTGTGGGAGCAGACACTCCTGCTCTGAACCAAACATTAAATAGTAAAGCCCCGGGAATGTATTATGTATCAGGTTTCTTCGGAATAACAGAGACAGCAATCGTAATACACATCAATTAGGATCTTGAAATGTCAATGATAAGTGCATGTCATGCTGTTTATCTTTTCTCATAACTATTAAAAGGGTTGTGGTTTTGGTTTCAGAGTTTCTGCTCCCCATTTGTAAGACTCAAAAATGGCAAAAGAAAAATACTTACCTCCACTTAGGCAAGTGGCAGTGGTGCCAGATATCCACTGCGAGCGGTTGTCAAGCTCCACTATACTCGAAATTGAAATATGACAGGCCAATCAATACTTCTCTTTCATGGCGCTTTTCACCCACGGCTCTTTTCCAAACTAGTTTTGAATTCTGTCTGCCCCCCTCCCCTGGCTGAAGGCTGTTTGTGTGTCTGAAGAGAGAAGATATTGTCAGCACAGTCTAATTATCTTGTTCTCTCTAACCCTGCAGGCGACTAAGTTCAGGCAAACTCCAGGATCTGGGCATCTCGGATGGGAGCAAGTTAACACTTGTACCAACAGTCGAAGCAGGATTAATGGTGAGGCTCACCTGGCTGTGATTTTATGTAGTGTGCAGTCCTGATATCAATAACAAATACAGTGCATGACTGTTTCTTGCATATTTATTACTGTGTGTAATTAATTACTGCTCATTTTTAGTCAGTTTAAATTATTATTTTTTAAATATTCTCACCTTTTTTTGCAGTCTCAAGCATCAAGACCCGAGCAGTCCGTAATGCAAGCCTTGGAGAGTTTAACAGAAACTCAGGTAAGAGGCTGTTCCTCCGTGTTGACACTGCAACAATGCAACAAACTTAGCATCCTATCATGTTTGCTGTCTTAACCGAGCTTTGGACCTTTTGTGTGTATGTGTTTGCACGGGGGGGATATGGGAGGCTGTAGCCTTGGTTAAGTGCAGAGCAACACCCAGATATAACACAGAGAAAGAGATGAGATGAGATGAGTAGGCTGCACAAGCACAAGCCTCTTTGCTTGTCTAATCTCAGCCTCTTAAACAAGCCGAGCCAAGCTAGACATCCAGTGTGAGCTGTTAGGATATAATAAGCAGCAACACCCCTTGTATCCTAGTAACATCTGTGATAGCATGTGTGTTTGCATATGTGTGTGTGTGCGTGTGCGTGTGCGTGCACGCCACTGCAGGAAGCCAGGGCGAACACCACACAAGAAAGGCTTTTTTGTGAGCTGCTGAGAGGACCAGCACATAACACTCACTTTCACCTTTCTGTTTATACCTTTATCTGTAATCTCTCTCCACTCCTCCTGTATTTCATGCTCACACACACACACACATACACACACACACATGCGCGTGCACACACAGACACACACATACATGTACAGGCAAGTTTCCAGGAAGTGTGCTGTGGCTGCATGGAGATTGAGTGTATTCTCACGCACTCATACACATAGTGCTGGATCATCAGATGACAGCCTTCTCACTCAGTATTAGCATAGGGTTCCTGGAAGCCTAGCATGTACACACAGCCCGAGTGGGGCCTACTCCCCGTACTTACAGTGAAACAGCTCTGTAGACCTGCTTAAATACAGTATGCATTTGAGTCAGTGTGGCATGACTCACCAAAGTGATCAATAGTGAGAGTAAAGTGAAAAAAAGGCAAAGAGTTCTCCGCACTGGCCGCAGAGAGAGGCGCGAGCGAGAAGAGAGGCGATAAGGCTGAATGCACACAGGCAACAGTGTGACGTATGAAATACTCTGCAGCTGACTGACTGACTCAGACCTACTTCCTTTTGTAGTGTTGGGTAACACTGAGATGTACGTAAGTGCATCAGTGATGCACTGCTGACTGATGTCAAAACAGTACAAGATGGTGAAATGAATGATGCGTTTGTCCAAGAACGACACTGTACATTAAGTAGAATTTATATCAGATGATGTGGGCCGATTGGAGATAGCGGAGTGCGGTTCGCCGTGGCTGCGTTCCCTGCTGATAATTTTCTGGTGGAAATCCTGGCCCTTGTTGTGTGTGTGAACTCAGCGTGCGTCTCGTAGCGCTGACAGCAGATGACTGCGTGTGTGTAGGTGTGTGTAAGTGAAAGTGCGCACGTCTGTTACTGGATGTGTGTGAGAGTGGTAGTGGGCTGGAAGGGAGCCTTGCCCATCATGTGGTACGCCTTTGCTGGGCAGCCATGAGTGACCGTCATTTTCACCAGAGGCAGATGATAATTCAGCAGCCGACCTGGCGCAGCAGACTTCTCACTTTGCCTTTCTTCCTGTATCTCTATTACTCTTTGACTCATTATGAGTCAGACCCATGCATTTTTCTCAAGAATCGCTTACAGTACATTACCGTCGCATTCATGTTTATGTAATTGTAATCCTGCAGTGGGGGCAGAGAGAATAAAGGGCACAGTAAGGCGGAGAGCGGGGTAAAAGGTTAAAAAAATGCATAAAGCTGCTTTAGTGTGTTTTTATCCCGAGAAATTGATTCCTCTTTATAATTCATGAAGCGGAATGGAATGATATAGATTGCAGAGAGATTAAGGATCTGAGTAAGATTAGAAAATAGGAACACAAAAGCTTTCCCTCATTTCCTTTCTCTCCCCCCTCCCCTAACTCTGGGGCTATCAAAAATCAATCAATGCACTTAGCTCTTAAAAGTGTCTGACATGATAACTGATATGCCCATACACCCAAAAATAGCCTCGGGGAAATGTGGGGTGGTTGTTAGCCGTGGTAGAAGAAGCGGGTATGAACCCCCGGACCTCCTCTAACCACTCACCATGGGCGGATTAAGAGATAATGGGCCCTCGGGCACAGATATGAAAAGGGCACCAGCACATCTCCTACATAGGCGCGAGACACTCTTTTGCATCTCTTTGTAGCTGCTATGCATCTTTGTGTGGGTTTGTGGTGATCTTGTGGCTGTTTTGTTATTTCGAGTCTTCTGGGCGTTATGTGTTAATTTGACATTTGACATTTTGCAAGTGAAAGCCAGGGAGCCCCCCGACACTTCAGGCCCGTGGTCCTGTGCCTGGTGGGCCCGTTCAGTAATCCACCCCTGCCCCTCACCCCTCCACTTGCTTGTATTTTGGTCATTTGAGGTCTCATTTCCTGATCGGGTGTTTTGCCAGGAAGCGTGTGTATTCATGGAAGACGGGGCTGATCGGATCCCCTCATGTCTTCTCTGCTTTATCAGGATTCTGGGGGAGTTCACAGCTAGCAGCTAGCTAGCCAACCAACCGAGCAGAACATGACAGCTTCCAGGGCTGTTTCAGACTTTGCAGAGCGAGTTAGATAGAAAATGTTTTATGGAAACGGAGCCCTGGCAATTATTGAAATGGGATTTTTTTCTTCCTCTCCTTCCTTTCCTCCGTCTCCCCCTTTTCCCTCCTTCTTCTCCCTCTCTTGTTTCTGCTTAACAGCTCTCCCAGGGCCCTATAATTTAAATGTGCTGTGGTTTGCAAGTCCGGCTAGCTGCCTCGGTCTGACCGTGATGGCTGGCTTCTTTAGCAAGGACAATCCTGGGCTGCCTTAATTCCTCCTCTGGCATCTCACTAGACTTTTTGCATGACATCTAAGCTGTATTAAGCTACTGCCTCCTGACAGCCCATCAAAATACAGTTGCCTGCACTAGTCTCTTCTCATTCTGTCTGCTAAATAGAGGTTGTGTGTTCAGCTTACATATGCAGCCATGCACGGACACACACACACTCACACCAGAATTGAAAGGATATATTTAAGAGGATTGAGTTCAGAGAATGAGAAAATGTCTGATCCTGGTAGTAAAATGAATGTACACTTACAAGACAAGCAGTGAAAGGGAAGTGAAAGCAATATTCACGATTTCTGGGCATATGTAGACAGTGACATCAGCTCCCCATCTATCGATCTGGGTATTTGACAGAAAGAGAAGGATTATGTGTCCCTCTCAGCACACAGGGACTATTTGCTCATTGATGCACATTGATGTTAGAATAAAAGCCAACCAGGCAGGCAGGCATCACCCTCACCATCCCCCCATTGCCCTTCCCCCATGCAGCCACCTCTTTGTTCCTGTCTTAAAGCACGAGCTCCGAACCTGCCCAGCTGACAAACCCCTCAAACACACAACAATGATTGAGGGTCACTCTTTAAGTTCGCCCCCCACACAATCCCGTTTCATCCTCCATCCATACGTCCATGTGCGTCAGCAATTGTGTGCAGCTACAGTGGTGCATACTGGTTTCAAAATCAATGCACGGCCCAGCTGGAGAGAGGCTCAGCAGGCTGCAGATTGACAAATTTCGCCTTGAACACTAACACAGATTGCTTTGGGAGGAGGCTGTGTGTTGCCATTACATATGTCCCAGCGGAATACGCCGTTACGTATCTGCTCTACTTTTCTTGCTCCCGCCGACAAGCACCTCCTGTCCTCATCCAATCCCCTCCTCCTCCTCTTCCTCGAGGAACGATATGGCACAGTTTTGTCATTGTGTCTAGAAGCAGACAGATGCAAACTAGTAAGGATCTAACAATCTGTGGTGGTGTGTGTGTGTGGGGGGTCACCTCTGGGTCACCCTCACCTCGTCTCCTCCACTCTACCTCCCTCGGGGTGTGCCACGGTGGGCCAGACAGGTGGAGGAGAAAAGAAAGGGAGCTTTGCACAAGTTATTCTGTAACATGTCAAGTCGGTGTGCATGTTCGAGTTCTGTAGGTCAGAGGTTATTGGGAGGGTGAGCTCATGTGCTTGGGTAACTCACAAGATGAAGAAATGCAGGCAGGAGTCTAATGGAAGGAAGGGAATCAGGACAGAAGAGGCTTACTACTAGACAGATTTTTGGAGAGTGTATATGGACAATGAACTGTTCATGCCGGTGTACCTGCACATGTGTATACATCAGCTCAATGGAGTTGGTCAATTTATTTTTTTCCCGTCCCCCACCTTATCTAGATGCTAGCTAATCAGCAGGATTGACACCACTGGAAATCATTGGAGAGTAATTGTATTGAGGATTTGGGAGTGCGAGGAATTGAAAAATGACTTGAGTCAGTTTGTTGGTCAATACGAGAGGATCCTCCCCCTTTTTTATAGCACGCAGCTCCCTCTGTCCTTCCCACTGCCATTGAAATGAAGGCTTTTTATATGCATGTGGGATGAGCGAGGGAGTCTTTGCTCTTTAGAATGGTAATTTTTTTGTTACCTAAATGAAAGCTACAGAAATTAATTTGTTGCTGTGTGTGTATATCAAATTGTGTATGGAAGACAAGACAATGGTGATCTAAAGGCCTATTCAGTCCGCTGCTCGTGTAAATCCTGGCCTTGAAAATTGCATTAATAAGCTGTTCGCGCAGTATTTTTGCACCTGTGTAATCCCCTTTGTGATGCTTAAAGGAAGGGGTGGAGGGAATCAAGGTGTGTTGTTTGGCAATCAAGGGATAGATGGATTTTGCAGTGGATGTCATTGTCCTATTGTGTATATGCATCTGGTCGCGTTTGTGTGTGTGTGTGTGTGTGGCAGCATCCATTTGTAATGTCTGTGTCTTTGCGGGTTCCTCTCGCTCGGCGGTCCAGGGGAGTCTTATTTCTCCATATTTGAGTCGTGACCGTCATATCTTCCCATTCCCTGGCGACACTGAGCTTTTGTGATTCAAGTAGCAGGCATCGTGACTAGTGGGGCTACTGTGTGGGAGGACGGAGGCCGGGAATGTCACGTCTGATAGCCACCACCAAGTCTAATGAAGTCAATTAGGCATATGCTGCTGGTGAAACAGAGAGGCAGGGGTCAAAATACCCAGGTCGATCCACA